GGGGGGCTATCGGTCGTCGTTTTTGGGCGAGAAATCGCGGGGTCGGGGGTCCCAAGAACAAAGCCCAGAGGCTTGGGGATGTCGAGGGGGGGTGGAGGCGAGGTGGGGGGCGAGGTGGGGGATGTCGGTCGTTTTTGGGCGAGAAATCGCGGGGTCGGGGGTCCCAACAACAGAGCCCAGAGGCCTGGAGATGTCGAGGGGGGGTGGAGGCGAGGTGGGGGGCGAGGTGGCGGGTATCGGTCGTTTTTGGGCGAGAAATCGTGGGGGTGGAGGCGAGGTGGGGGGTATCGGTTGCCCAAGAACACAGCCCAAAAGCTTGGGGATGTCGAGGGGGGGTGGAGGCGAATTGGGTGGTGTCGGCTGTTGTGGAGCGAGAAGTCGCGGGGTCGGGGGTTCCAAGAACAGTGCCCAAAGGCCCGGGAATGTCGAGGGGGGTGGAGGCGAGGTGGGGGGTATCGGTCGATTTTGAGGGAGAAATCGTAGGGTCGGGGGTCCCAAGAACAGAGCATAAGGCCCTGGGGATGTCGAAGAGGGGGGAAGGGGGGCGCGATGTGGGTGGCATTGGTCGATTTTGGGCGAGAAATCGCGGGGCCGAGGGATCCAAGAACAGAGCCCAAAGGCTTGGGGATGTCGAGGGGGGGTGGAGGCGAGGTGGGGGGTATCGGTTTTTGGGGAGAAATCGTGGGCGGGGGTCCCAAGAACAGAGCCGAAGAGGGGGGATGTCAGGGGGTGGGGCGAGGTGGGGGGGTATTGGTCGATTTTGGGCGAGAAATCGTGGGGTCGGGGGTCCCAAGAACAAAGTTCAAAGGCCTGGGGATGTTCGAGGGGGGGGGGGGGGGGGGGGAGGCGTGGGGTGGGGTGGGGTGGGGTGGGGGGGGGGGGGTCCAAATAACAGAGGCCAGGTGAGCGGCGGGGAGGAGAGCGTCGGGTGTTTTGGGTGAGGAATCGTCGGTGGAAGGTGCCAAGAACAGAGGCTACCTTTGATGGAACGGACGGAGCCAGGTGGGGGGGCGGGAAGGGGGGCGATGGTCGGCTTTGGGTGACGAATCTTATGGGAGAAATCGTAGGGTCGGGGGTCCCAAGAACAGAGCATAAAAGGGGGGGGGGGGGGGGGCGATGTGGGTGGTATTGGTCGATTTTGGGCGAGAAATCTTGGGGCCGAGGGTTCGCAGAACAGAGCCCAAAGGCTTGGGGATGTCGAGGGGGGGTGGAGGCGAGGTGGGGGGTATCGGTCGAGTTTGGGCGAGAAATCGCGGGGCCAGAGGTCCCAAGAACAGAGCCCGAAGGCCTGGGGATGTCGAGGGGGGGTGGGGGCGAGGTGGGGGGTATCGGTCGATTTTGGGCGAGAAATCGTGGGGTCGGGGGTCCCAAGAACAGAGCCCAAAGGCCTGGGGATGTCGAGGGGGGGTGGAGGCGAGGTGGGGGGGTGGGGGGGGTGGGGGGGAGTCCAAAGAACAGGGGCCAGGTGAGCGGCGGGGAGGAGGGCGTTGGGTGTTTTGGGTGAGAAATCGTCGGTGGAAGGTGCTAAGAACAGAGGCTACCTTTGATGGAACGGACGGGGCCAGGTGGGGGGGCGGGAAGGGGGGCGATGGTCAGCTTTGGGTGACGAATCTTGGGGTGTGGGGCGTGGTGGGCCACAGCGGCTCGACGGGGTGGGGGTGCCAGGGCGCGAAGGTGGATATCGCTCGCTGTTGGGCGAGAGATGTTGGGGGTGTGGCTAAGCTTGGCCACTTTCCCGCACACGCCTCTGGGGTCGGCGGATTACGAAATCTGGGGTACGGAAAGAACGGGTACAATGCCCAACAGCAGCTCCTGTTCATTTTGAACAGGGTTCGCTGTCCACAGGAGATGCCCACTCGGGCTGGACGAAAGGGGGAGATGGGGGAAAGGGGGGGGTACGACGAAAGGAGAGGTCCACTCGGGCCGGACGAAAGGAGATGTAAAGAGAACGAGGCCTGGGTGGACTCCCCTCGGGCCGGACGAAAGGGGGGGATAGGGAAAGGGGGGGGGGACGAAATCTGCTGCATGCAGCTGGTCTCGGCCCCACCGAGGGGCCCATCCCTGGATACATGGCCGCCTCCGGCGCCGGAAGGCGCCGGGAAAATCAGTTTCGCGAGCTGATTCTCAAACCCCTCCTTTGCTATCCCCCCCTTTCGCCCAGCCGGATCCCCAAGGAGAAGGGGGGCGGCCTCTGCTCAGGATTTGGGCTCCCCTGCTCCACTCGTGAGCCTGGCGGCGCAGCTTGCAGGCGAATTCTCGCCCCCCAAAATTTAGGAGGAGGAGGAGGAGGAGGAGGAGGAGGAGGAGGAGGAGGAGGAGGAGGAGTGGACGCCCGACGTGGGTACGGAAAACACGGGCACAAGGCCCAGCAACAAACGTTGTCCCGAGCGAGCAGCGGCCGCTGTTGGGCAGGCGGCCTTCTGTCTCAAATGGACACGGGCCGCGGCGGCGCGGACAGCGAGTCCCGTTCAAAATGAACAGGGACTGTTGTTGGGCATTGTGCCCATTCTTTCCGTACGCATTTCGCTCGTGCCGAAAGTTCCCCGAGTTCCCCCCGCGGAGAAAAGCAGGCCGTTCAGAGAAGGAGGGAATATCGTGGGACGTACCGCATGGGGCTATTCGGACGGGCGCACCCCCATCCAGCACGGACGCCCCTTTCACGTGCACATCCCCGAGTTTGGCCCCAACAGCTCCCGCCCAGTCGAAAGTCGACAAGACGTCGGGGATAGGGGGGTCGCCGCACCCCCACGTTCGTTGTCGGGGCTGGGCCCGGCATAAGGGGGCTCAGGTTTGGAGGCTGGCCTGGGGGCTCTAAAACAGGGCTAGGATCGGGATAAATCGCTCCAGAGCGTTCCGGAGCGCTCTCAGAGCGTTCCCGAACGCTCTGGAGCGGCCGCGGCGCCCAGTACATCCTCCAAACCCGCCGATTCTCAGAGATTTCGAGTTATCCCAATCCGATGTTGTCCCGATCTTC